AGCGATCATCGCCGAGGCTTTAGTCGAGCATCAAGAACGCTGTAACATCATAGAACCGGAGCAGCATGAATGCGGCCAAATCCATTCATGCGCAACCAACCTAGTGTTTGCACACGATAGTTGGACGGTAGCGGTCGACAATGGTACAGGGAGGGATGTCATGTATCTCAACTTTTTAAAGCTTTCGAACGCCTGGACCGCAGGCTGAAAAGCTACGGATTTGTAGATTATGTTACTGGTAAAATAAGGAATTTCAGAGCACCGACAATTGCAAGTTGGATTTCGAATTGCGTTATACGCTCGGTTATGTCGAAAATGAAGTTCCACTAGGATCAGTTCTGGGTCCTCGTCTGTTGCTCATGTTTAATATTAAGCATACGCAGTTGGTTGCCTTAGATTTTTGCATTTCACTGATGATGCGAAGTTGCTAACCATCGCCAACTACGGCGTTGAAGATATACTTCAGTCAAACAAGGACAGGGCGTATGCATGGTCATTCTACAATCAGTCCCAGTTTAGTTCGTCTAGATGTAAGGTGGTCCACATTCTTCATTAGCCAAACAATATACGTAAGCTTGGAGACCATGTCCTACAAGTAGTCAACCTGAAGCGCGACGTTCGGGTATTAATCCAGATGATTTGGGCTGCTAAGTACAATCTGAGCTTGCGTCGAAGGCTGGAAATCAATAGGTTAGCATGCTGCAATGAGCATTTGGACAGCTTGATCCTTCTGTCTGTTCGCAGTTGCTGAACACACACGTGCGGCTTCATGTGAAATAAGCAATCCAGACCTGACATCCCTGGCAGAAGCAAGTTCTAGTAATGCTGGAGTGTATACAGCGATGAACCACCCGAAATGTTTCCCCTTTCCATATCAACCTAAGCATAGGCTTCTAATATTGCGCAGCGGTCTTTATCGGCGCCGATACAGCGACCTAATAATGGCCTATTAGAATCTGATGCGACTCAGCAGCAACACCAACTTAAGGGTTACTTGTTAATTTGGCTAGATGATATCGTCGGCGAGTATTTCGCCGTAACATTTAGTTCCCTCGTGCATTCGCTTTTCTGGAAGCCCTTTTAAACTAAATCTTTCTACCCCAATTTACACGTGCATAGAAAAAGCCTTAAGGTTTCCCTAACTCATCTACATTTCGATATATAGTCCGTGTACATCAATCTACGATATGACGTGATAAATACTGCACAAACCAGAATTTCGCAAAAAATAGTGGTAGACAATTGTTAGCCCGCCTTATGGTGAATAATATGATGATTTAAACAGAAACACTTCCTTTTATCATATGTTGCTTTTTTTACATTTTTTGGTTCTCATTCAATCCATCCCACAGTACTAGTCAGGCAGTTATATTTTACTAATGAGTAGAAGGATTTTACTTGTAATTTTGATATTTTCGTCCCAGACGCTCACAAGCTGCATAGCACAGCCTAGTCCGAAAATGCATCAGACGCGTTTCGACCTATTACGGCTCGTCAGTGGTGCGCATTCCCTCGGTTCCATACTGGTTATCGAACCCATGACCGTTAGAGGCAGATGCCAAATAGCCAACACCTTAAGCCACTGAACGATGTGGGACGTCGGCTGAGCTACACCATTTGCAAGTTAACTGGGGTATAGCACGACGTATCTTCCACTGCCATGCAGTTTGCGATCTTAGCAGATGACAGTGGCTAGCCTCCGAAGGTTATGACTTTCACTCAATAGACGCTACATCCATAGCATTTGAAACTAGGAGAGGCTGCATTTTTATATTACTAAAATATATAAACATATATATATATATACCAGTTCCTGTGTGACTACATCTTGATCCCTTAGCAAAAGTGACAAATAGGGAACGTCTGATGTACCGTGGTATATGCTTACATTTAGATGAAAATATCAGATAAGGAACTTCTGGCTCTAAAAGATAATTGGCTTTGCAAGAGAAAGTTGGCGACTCACCTCAAGAGAGGTCACAGATTCCGTAATACTGGAGCATGGAAAGGCAAATCCGCTGATCTAAACGATCGAATGCTTTCGACAAATTCAGGTTCATTACACCAACGGCCTATCCAGCGTCGGCTGACTCGGTATAACTACTCCGTGTGATTAATGACTTAGCTGTGCATGGTAGCTGTCGACGAAAGCCTTGTTGTAATTTTATGGCTAAATTATCAACGCATCGGTAACGACGGGTTCTATTAACTTAGACAGTACAGGGAGAAGAGAAACTTAGCGATAGTTTGAGGGCTCAGTCCAGCTTCAACCTTTGTGAATCGTAGTTATTATTCTAACATTCAACCTCGCAGGAACCTGGTTCTGATCCAAGCAACACTGTAAGTACTGGACCAAATTTTCTGCCACTTGTCTTTCTGTTCTTCTAAGTGCCTCTGGGCCAATGGTGTCGGCTCCCAGGGAGCTGTAGTTGCGCAGTGACATCAGCTTCTACAATACAGCTTTGACGGTAAAAAGGATGTTGGTGAGTCCTGGAAATGGCAAATCTGGGAACATTTTGTGTCATCAACGCGTTTGCTGCTTTATAGTTATCCTAACTAGCCATAAGCTGTCCTGAGTGTAGAAATGCTTTGCCTCATCTTACGAAGACCATTGACGTATTTGTACAGCAGCTTGGGGGTAGCACTGAGAGTTTTCGCCATGTTCTGTTGATATGCGGCTTTGTCTTCCCTGAGCAGTTGAGTGCAGTGGTTTGGCTACATATTTGTCCAAGTTAGCTGGTGTTGGTGGTAATCTTTACTCTCGCAATATTTTACTAGAATAGAAAGATCCCTATTAAAATACCAAGATTTAAAAATAGTTCATTCTGTCAAGTTAGTCAGCTGAAGGGGTTCAAACAGGTTTGATCCTTTGTTGGTTTAAATGCATGTTGACAAACGACTGATAATTTAAAACGCTGAGATTCCTTGATAGGCTTCTGAATTAACCCACCTATATGGATAATAAAAATTTCCGAGTTTAAATCGCTGTATTGGGATGCCACACCAACCTCATTGGGCAAAATGGACCTAATTTATGATCTGTCTTGGGATCTTTCGTGAAAGGCGATTTGGTGGCCAATCTTGCTTCATCTGACCTAAAATCACGTTTATCACTCGAAGGAACAGTTAAAAATTCCTGTAGAGTTAATATGATCGAGTAATAGGATGTGATATTTTCTCGCCTCCAATTTGCCAGTAGCAAGCGGCTGCTCTGCTTTTATTGACCTAAGGTGTATGAACGGTGTAAACCTATTTGTCCGAAACTAATGCAGACAAGGTACCCAATGCAGCTCAGGCTGAATCGGTGGACGGTATGCTGTGAAACAACGCACAATATTTGGAAATATTTAGGGCAACTAATTGCTATTTCTTTTGGCTTTACAGCGCTTCGGTATTCATTTACATTGGTCATCGGGAGTAGTGGAAGCAACGGGATGCAATTTTATCATTATCGCTGTCACTCATGGCAACATGGACGACGCCGTGGTCTCTCCATGGCAACCGTGATAATCAGGCGATAAGAATTCTGTTTCCATGATTAAGAGGCTTTTAACCGTCTTCTCTGTAACTTTTGCGATACAGCAATAAATCCTTTTGGAACTAGAAAGTAGTCAAAATATCAATAAGCTACTTAATGTATATGGTAGCATCGAGAAATGGTCACATTTATTTCGTCATCTTTATGGATCCAAAAATTTAGTCGGACCCAAAGATTAAACTAAATTATGTTTCATCTTACGAAAGACATGATTAAGCAAAGGTATCAGCAAGTAGTTATAACTTGATGTCAACACGTTTCGGGGATTCACATAGACGGAGAGTTTGCCATCATATTTTAAGCAATATTGTCCCTAACTTGACGCTAGTCATTTCGTGTTTTTTCCAATCGTATTATTTTAACGATTCTTGTACACAATTAATTTTCTTATGGTCCATTCCCCACATACAGAACAAGACGGTCCTTCTGAGCGCAGTTCCATTATAGTTTATTAGGGTTAATCTGAGCTCAGAATGACAAGTTATCATGAAGAAGGCAGTACTTTTATGTGTTGGTGCTAAGAAAAATTGAGAGCGTAAGTAGCAGGCAGACGTAGGTGAACAGTTAGTGCAGTACTTATGATGCTGCAGTTTTCGTTGACCTTTTGATCGCAACACATCTTGTACTGCGCCTCGTGTGATAAAGACGCCAGTATTCTTCTGACGAACCGACAAACCGAGGTACTACTCCTTACCTTATCCACAGTGTCTTCGCAGATAGACCAAGTGCAAATGTCTTCACGAAAACACCGAACAGAGAAGGTGGATTCCCAATATTCTCAAGATGATTTCATCCTGGTAATCCCTAATGCTTTTTAAGCTGTTTGCAATTCTATAGTTAGCAGAAAACAGTTAGGAGTCCATTCGCTGACAACTGGCGTCTAGCTGCTTGTATTTGTCCACTCTAATAGCAATAAGCCTTAAGTAATCCATGGGGCCAAACTACTAATTCCGCACGGCCCATGTATTTTATTACCATGATGGGCCCCCAGCAGATGCTGGATTGTAATAGAGGTAGTAAATTTTATATTCAAATAGTAAGGTGTCCCTTGAGAAGACACAGATAGTCGTAGTACTTCAATTGAAGGTTCGGATTTATCTGAAAGATTAGGCCGATCAATCAGCCCCACAAATATTTTGTGGCTTGTTCAGGAAAAATGGTACATGCAATTCTGCTGTACATAATAGTCAGATCATACAATTTGAATGTGCCTCCCACTGCCAAAGAATTTGCCGTTTTTTAATCGATTAATGATGGACATGTAGCACTTCTTCTGAAAGGCCAATGCGCAAGTGGTTATAACGGTTTCAAGATAACCCTTTGAGTTGTAGCCAGTATCAGCGATTAATCCTACTCTTTATCCTGCCTAAGGTATGACATAATTACCGTTACTGCAAAAATAGATGTAGACTATCCCCCGGTTAGTTAGATGTTAATTTCTTTTAACACTAAAGTATACATAAGACTCCGACAGCGTCTATATTCAAATGACTAAGGAAATGTCACTTTCTGATAGAAATCGCACTAAAGATCATTGTCAGAAATGTACAAGAAGCCACCAGAAATGCAAGTAACTGCGGCGTTCACAAGGAATTAAGCTTGCAGGCATCACACAAAAGGGAAAAATACAGTTTATACAAAACTGGTAGGAAAAGATGAGTAAACACTCAGAGTTGGCGACATTCTATCACAATTGCTGATAGACGGTGAACGTGCCAATTGTGTGTAGCCCAAAGGATCAGTTGGGCTGTAAAGGACCAGTGTGTCCTCTTTGATTTTGAACTTTCCATCGGCATGACACTCGGGCGGAGTTTTTTCCTCCATGAAACAACCGAGCTGTGCTTTTCGTTCGTACGTCTCGTGATTGGAATCTAACCAAGTGACTGATTGCCTCATCTTTGAGGATGCTAATTTCACCGATCTTACTTCACTGTTAGCGCATTTGTGCTTGTCTTTTGAGACATCCGTGATTGATTTGGCGCCCAACACATCGTCGCGATTTTCGTCGCCAAAGGACAATGGTAACGTGCCACACTTGGGTCTTGTAAGCAGAGTGCCTTGTCTTCCAAAAGCACGAAGCTCGACATCCGAATTAGGTTGCCTAGATGATTGATTGTCACCTGCAGAAAAATTACAATCACACACCAACTTGTTGGAACGTTAGGAGCATATGCGAACAGTGCTTGATGAACTATAAATGAATCAGTGACTCAATCAAAGCCTACTATGAGGATCAATAAGGCAATGCTTGGTGTTTAAAGGGGCCATTTGCTCTCTAATTTGCCATCAAGTGAACCGAACGGCTGACGATGTGGAAAGATTCACGGTAGTCTGATCATAATAGACTCCAACCAGACCTGTCTCCGTTAGCAAGAATGAACTCTTGCCGAAATATCGAGGGGAGCATACACTATTTTATGCGTTGTTTGATGGGAAATCTTCAGCGGGATGAGTTGTAATAACCCAAATAAACTGAATGTTCGATACGTCCACATCATTCATCGCCTATGATCTTAGGTATGAAATCCTGAAGTGTTGAATAAAACTCCCAGATGTGCAGTTGCGAGTGGTTCACGAAGAATCATCGGACTGATTTTTATGTGGATAATCCATTGTATTGCTTGCACAGAGAAAGCACGCATAAAACTGGTGCGTTATTAAGGATAGCGTGTAGTACAGATGAACATTAAAACTCGATGCCATCATGTTTGCAGCAGATTTGTCGTGAACCTAATACTTTGTATATGTGGATACTGACCATGAATATTCGAAAAGCATATTTGGCGAAAATCTTAGAGTTTGCTGACAATGAGCAGAAATATCAGGTGGCCGGAGATCGTGCTTTATCGACAGGTTTTATGCTTCTCACAGGAACGTGAATATGTTTGGTCTACAAACACTACAATCACCACATTCAGATCCGAAAAGCCGGAAGTCTGGCTTTCATGTGTACAGTCCTTTCGCAGTAAAATGTTACTGAGCGTCTCTAAGCATGCGCAAAGTTGATTGAAAATGATTGAATTCGACAAGCACGATTTAACTAGGTCATACAGATCCAGTACCCATAGCTTCAAACCCAGAAGGCTGAGCTGTTTGCATTAGCGTTAAGTGGACCTGTTAAGCATACAATGGTTGCCCGATGCTCGATGAAATTCCCAAATACCATGCCATGTTTCACAAGCCTATAAAACAACACGCGTCTATCCTGACTAACGGGTTCATAATGATAGCACAGAAATATCCGGTGTTGATAACAAACACGAACAAGCAACTTTGTTGCGTTTAGATAATAAACAAAATACTGCTTGATGATTTTGTCACCTCCAAAAGTGCAAAGTACTGCATTTAGTCGTAAATCATCCTCATCAACTGATCACCTGTCACCAACATATTTGATCTGTCGGTAAACGAGGTGTGCAGTCATGTCAGTTTGAGGTTTCGACCTTAAATCAAATGATGTGTGTGAGTAAAATAACTGAGGTTAAGCAAGTAAAAATGTACCCGAAAGTAAAAACTTGAATATCTTACAGTGAGATTTACGTGAAGTTAGACCACCAAATGTTGATAGCCGAGCGTTCCATTTTTCATCCCCGTTTGATGTATCTGGGAACGAAGCTGCTCCATTTTCTGTGGCACTACTTCTTCCCTGGCCGCTATCCAGGCTGTCAGTATCATCGCACTAGCAAAATAAGAAAAAATCTTTACAGCTGTTGGTATTTGATCGAAATTATGAGTGAAAATGAGAGATGAAACGAATCATTATAACCAAGGGAACCACGTCGAAATCTAACTTAACTAGCATAGACAATTCCAAGTTATTACTTGAAAAGCATTACTCGTGTGCAGACTGAGGCAAGCGACTGCTGAAGCGTGTACACATAACGCTAGTCATTACTGCAAAATAATAAATGTAATACTTAAACACCTATTATTTGCAAGACCAGGCATGGATGTTCCGCCAGTAACTTACTCCGTTAACGCAGGTTAGGGTTAAAACCCTATGAAATCGATATGTGGTGTAACACATTGAGGGGGCGTAGTTATTGATCCAAATGACAGAACACGCGGAACTCCAGACTCCGGCATCCTCTACCGCCCATCACTACTATACTACTTCATTAAAATAGTCAAAACACGAAATGCAGATGCATCAAAGTTAATACCCCCAGCGACAAATTACGAAACATTGTCTCATTATAAGTAATACGTTATATAAAAGGGAGTTTATTCCCTCAGTACACTACAAGTTTGCATTCAATGAGGTGCAAATGACACAAACTGTAACCGAGAGACTAAGGTTACGCGCTTTATCATCCGTTGCTTTTATACATGGAGGCACTCAGTTCGTATTATTACTTGTCAGGTTTTATGCCAAAATATTCAAGTAATTTAGGCAGAATAGTGAATAGTGTTTATGAGAATGTTAACTGATTTCCTTCGTTAACAGACCATAGTTTTGCTAGCCTTCAGTGCGATCCAAAGGGCATGCTTATCGCACCCGTTAGCTGGTGGGCAAAATCACAATCAGCTAAGGAAATTAGGCCCCCAGTGCAACGTACTCAAAATACTGGTTAAGCCAGACTACATTTCGGCAGTGCACGTGCAGAGTGAGATTTGCCAAGCAAACCCAGGTCGCGTAAAACCAAAGAGTGACAGAAGAGGGGAACTGCACCAACAGTTTTCGTGGATTGTAGATAAAAACTGCGGAAAACCGACTTTCCGAGTAATTAATCAAAAGCATATTTCTAGTTAATTAACGGCACACCCGTCTTTGCTAACCGTAACGTGCCTTGTACTGCCAGGAAAAAAAACTTTTGTTTATTTATTCATGCGTTTCGAAATTGGATTTGAAAACGGCATAATGCATACAATGAATACCAATTACTTGTGCTACCTAGTCTATCATCGGTAGCGTTGGCTATTAAAAGTACCGTTTGGAGGGATATCACTTCAAGGTGCAAACGGATCAGAGTAATTTGTTTGTTTTTTGTTCCACTTCGTAAAAGACGCCACCAAAACTGGCATCTGTGAGGTTAAGTAAGCGTACAGCTTTGAGGTTCAGACTAGGTGTTTGTAATACCGTCTTTGTTGTGTCTCAAGTAGATATTAAATGTTAACTTTAACTTCCGTCTTGCATGTACACGAAGTGCAATGATATGTGTAAAGTCCATATATTCCATCCAAAGCCCATAGCCAAAGCTCATATATTCTATCCAAAAGGGAAAAACGGAAGTTGTAGGAAAAACTTAAATTGATGGACCTTATTCGTAGGAGTTTTAAGTTTCTGCATGTTAGTTCATAGCAAACAACGGAATTCTCCTTATGGTGGAATCTGTCGGCAAGTGTGATGATAACGACATTTTGCGGTACATGTCAATACGGTTTTCACATGTCATGGCTTTCGTTTGAGGGCCATAGCGTTCTGGCTGAGATGACAACCCAGCGGGGGCGCAAATATCAATGAATATCCCAGCTATAGAATCTGACTCGGTGACGGTTTTGACAGTAGCCATAACCCACGGAAGCACACAGCAGAGCACAAGCGACCACCGGAATTCGGAGCATTTGATACTTGAATATCTATCAACTTCGTCGCGAGAGCCTGCAACCCATACAAAAATACGATTAGCCGCCGACCCTTTGTCGGCCGGCGTTAACCCACTTGCCTCATTCATCACATCCAATAACTTTTGGTCTCCGAGCAACTCTCATGTATGCACACAAATGCGCAAGGCCCACTCAGCAACTTAGCTGGACTACAGCTTCATGACGCATCAACAGCTTGAGACCTCATCACCCTCACAAAAACATGGATGCACAGTGAGATAACGGATACAGAAATCGTGCTAACAGGTATGTCCGTCGTCCAGAATGATCCAGCCAGAAAAGATGGCGGGGTAGCCCTCATCTTTCGTAACAACCTGCAGTGCGAACCCAACAACGACACGGAAACCTTGGTACCTGACTCCATTTAGTGCAACTTATGGCTAAGAGGGAACAACCTTGGCCTAGTGGCTGTTGCTTACGGCTCACCATCGTCTAAACCTGAGATAGACTCCAACTTGGTGGCTGCGTTGAGGCAGGTGATAAACGGGAACTAAAGTCGCACTGTTATCGCCGACGATTTTAACTTACATGCTGTAAAATCTCAGGTCACACCAGGAGATCAGTTCAAAGCAGGCGTGCAAGATCGTGTCTCAGACTTTCCGCTTTATGGTTACGTCCTTTTGCCCACCAGATTCAGGGGAATTAATAGGTCATCCATATTGGACTGGATATTCATTAATGAAGAACCGATGATCGACAGCATGAGCGGTCTTTACTCCTCTAGGCCGTAGTGATCATGCGAGTTTGCATTTCTTGTACACCTGCTATGCTGAATACGCCATGGACAGAACTCAAACGACTGGCACCGTAACCCGATACGATAATTTAACCCGACTCGTTTGGGCGACCGACTGGAATCGCTTAATGAAGGATGCACCGGATATTGCCTGGGAACTTTTCATCAGTAAGTATAATACGTTGGTTAATGGAAAATCGGAAACCAAGACTATCAGTTCGGGATACATTGCGTCGTTTACTAAAGTAGAACAAGCAAATGCATGGTGACGCGCAAAACAGATCGGAGTCCGAGTACCTGGAAGGCCTACGTTGTCCGTCGTAACCACGGTATCCAAGTAATACGCGAGGAGAAAGTTGCTTATCAAGCTGCCTTAGATGAGCGATTAACTTCAAAGCCTAAGCTTTCTGTACAACCACACGAACAGCCTCTGCAAATTGAAAAGAGGATTTACCCTTCAAGCGGCTGATTGTCAAACTCCAACTGCCAAAAAAGCATCGAACGTTCTGCAACAGCAATAAACACCAACGTTTCATTGCATTCCCTGGTCTCCGTATCTCTGGAATCTATGGTGTCCACACTAGGACTCATTCTTATAAATTACACAGAAGACATCCTGATAAGAAAGCTGCGATGCATGCGCCAGCACGCCTGTCCACGAATTGACGACATCCGCCCAAAGATGCTTGTTGTGGCGGCTACTATTTTGGTGGAATTTTTGCGGCGACTGTTCCAGCACTGCTTTGACGAGCTGCAGGTTCCTGCAATGTAGAAACACGGGACAATAAGTTCCATTTACAAAGGAGGTCGTCCTGCCGACCCAGCTAATTATCGACTATTGGCTCTTCTCCTAGTCCTTTCAAAATTTACGGAGGCTATTGTTGCCGACACACTCAATTCTTATCTGGACGGCCTTGGTCACATTGCTCAGGAGCTACACGGCTTCAGCCAGAATCGGTCGTGTACAACTAACCTATTGTTAGCACGAGACAGCTGGAGCGAATCGGTGGGTGCTGGTGTAGGAGTTGTTGAGGCTTACATTGATTTCTCTACGATATTCGACCGGTTGGTCCATCGTATCCTGCTTTCCAAATTTGAAATATGTGGCATTAGGGGGGATTATCTCCTTGGGTAGATCTGCAGTTTACTCTCGCACAACGTCTGGAGAGGTGAGTACATGAATCCATGTCAGACCCAATTCACGTCAAATGCTGTGCACCACAGGCTTCGGTTGGATGCATGTCTATTCTTGGGCGTCATTAACGATCTAGTGAGTCAAATTAAGTCAAACAGTTTAGTCTACGCCGATTACACTAAAGTTTGGCGAATGACCGTAGCTCCAGAAGTCCATATCCACCTTCGAGATTTATGGAACTTCGGCTCAAAATGACCTTCTATTCAAGTGCCTAAATGTCGTGCTCCATTTACGACACCGAATAGTCCACACATATAAGCTGGGGGATCAGGAGCTGCAACAAAGTTCTCTCGAATAGGATCTTGGTGTGCTAGTCCAGGAAGATCTCAACTGCTCTGATCAATCCAAAAATGCACCGAAGTAGGGGATCCAAATCGTGAGGCTTTTACGGAGAGCATTCGGGCAAATCAAACCGTCTATTTTCTGCTGAATCCTTCCCACTTACGTACGTCCCCATGTTATATATGCAATCCAAGCATGGCACCCATGGCTAAAGCTGGATCTCAAGGCCTCGGAGATGCTGCAACGTCGGCCGACCAAAAATCTCGAGGGGCTGCAACACTCGTCATACGAACAGCGCTTCAGAGTGCGTGTCATATTCAGCAGACGGTATCGCCGTTTGCTTGGTGACCTAACTATTGCTTACCAAATTCTAAACAACAATAAACACCCCTACCATCACCTGTTGAAGCTGAGTCGCAACAACAAACGGTGAGGTCATCATCGCAAACTGGAAGAACAATACAGTCTGTTGGAGTGTGGAAGCAACATCACGCTGCGTTTCGTACACGTGAAATACCCTCTCAGAAGGTCTTAATTCAGCCCCCACGCTGGCTGAGTTCAAAGTACGTGTCGACAGTGCATTGGCCGTGTTTCATCTTATCAGCTAACCCAAACCACCCATACATAGAGCAGAAAAGGGAAAACAAATCCGCAACTTTCATTTTTACCCGGAAACCAAAAACGATAACCTTGGATAATACAGAAAACCGTGTGAACTGCATAGACGGGAACCTTGTAACCGGTAAATTCGCAAGTTGCGGTTTTCACTATTTCCTATTTCTATTCTGTCTTTATTTTGCTCATCTCTAACCGATTATGTGGCGGGACTAGTCAGTCTTGGGCTTTTTTCTCTGCAGTT